TAGAGAAATATAAAAAAGCTGCCTAACACGTAAGAAAATGACGGATATTCCTGAAATTTCTGACACCTATCATTTGCCAGAGCTTGGAAGCAGCTCATTAGAAATAATGAGTTATTTATATCTATTTTTTCCTGAACACACAAGGCAAACCCTAAGTTACCTTATGATTGCAACACAGTGTATAACTGCTAACTGCTTCCAGTACCATTTAATAGTGCAGACAAACAAAATTAGGTATGATTTATACCATTCAGACAAAGACCCAAAATGAAGGGAAACACATGTACTTTTCAGGGAAGATCTTGGCCTAAGCTTCTTCTGCCTCATTCTCAGGGCTGGAGAAAAAAGGCCAGTTCTTGCAGTTTCTGAAAATTTCTGGCAACCCAAATTCATTGCGGGTCATTTCTGGTTTTTGCTGTTTCAGGATAGGTGATCTTGAAAAAGGAATGAGCCAAACAGCTCCTACAGGTATTTTGGGCTGGCGAGCAAATGGGGTGATGGTTTTTTTTACGCCAGCTCCACTGGTTATTAGCTTCTGAGCACAATTCAAAATGCTGGCTTTGACCTATAAAACCTTAAATGGTTCTGGCCCAGCTTACCTGTCCAAACTTATCTCCCTCTATGAACCCCGAAGGACCTTGAGATAATTTGGAGAGGTTCTGCTCTCAGTCCCACCACCATCACAATCGCATTTGATGGGAACGAGAGACAGCGCCTTCTCAGTAGTGGCCTCTTAGTTGTGGAACTCTCTCCCTAATGGGATCAGATCTGCCCCCTCCCTCATGATGTTCTGGAAGAAGCTCAAATCCTGGTTATGGGATCAAGCTTTCACAGAATAGATTATTTTAATGGACTGTTTTTTGCTGATGGCAGTGGATTGATTTGGAAGACAACGTGAAATGGTAACCTGTTTTAATGTATTTATAATTGTTTTAATGTATGCAAAATGCTTTGTTTTTATTGTTCAGCACCAAATTGTGTCTGTTGGTAGCCTTCCTGAGTCTCTCTTCGGAGGTATGAAGGACGGGATAGAAATGCTCCTAATAAATAAATATATAATTTTAAAGAAAAACTTGGGATTGTGGGGGTACAAGTTGTGTCGCAAGGACCCCCCCCCCCACCCTGAAGCATATAACCTGCAGGCTAAATTTGCTCCTTATTTATTTCTTAAGGCTTGGGTTTACTGTATGGTCTGTAAGGTTTTGGTTCAAGTTAGTCCCCAGTACATAATATTGGGATGTCTTGCAGAGATGTTGCAATGCATTTCTGAAAAGCACTATCAGAATTCTAAGCATTTTAATGTGTGTGTAATTCAAAGCATGATATTTCTAATGCACTCCAAATCATTATCCACCTCTCTTCAGGAGAAAAAAACAAAACAAAACAAAACTCTGCAACCCATACAGCAACCACAACTTTTTTTCTTACTTCTTATTCTATTACAACACACAAATACACCTCTGTTCGTCTCCTGGTACTTTTAGTCTGTGTGGAGGAAATGGTTTTAATCTTCCACGATTCAAGGTGTTAACTGATTGGCAATCCTGCTGTTACAAACACTGCTGTTTGCAGTCCACTGCCTTCTGTTCACAGCTATAATGATTTAATGCCCTTCTGTATTTCTTTATTTCCATCCCTGTTGGCAGCCATATTTCTCTCCCTACTGCTTCTTCCATTCCTGGGCTTGATGTTATAAACTTTAAAGGCTTTGGGAAGCGGTGGCTGGTACAGAGCAAGAGCCAATCACCCTCGGAAGGGAAGCTGTCTTACCTAAACAAACCATTATCGGCTCATCTCCTGCCTTTCTACTTTTTTTCCCTCTCTTTTTTGGCTATTACCTCATGGGATTAACTTTTATCTCTAATCTCTGCTCTGGCCAACTGTCAGGGAGCCTAAAAGCCTCCTGGCTTTTAATCTGTGTGTAATAATACTGCTGCTACTAACAGATAACTGTGAAACAACGTGGAAGGAAGGGCAATCCTGTCCACAACCAGCTTTGCCAAGAGAAGGACCTCACTGACAATAGAAGGACCTCACTGTCCACAGCCAACTATGCCACCTTCTTACCTGAGAGGAGACAGGGAGACATAGAAGCAAGGTTTTCAAATTTTTCTCTTGTTATTGTAGCATTCATTTGTATATACTAATATCAAACTCACTGTGTATGAACAGACCCTTCTCTAAACCATCCCTGTGCAAAATGGGATTGGAGAGAATATCATCATCTGAAGAAGGGCTGGACAAATAACTGGCTTTGGATTTCACTGAATTCTCATTTCCCTGCATGTTTGTTACGACCAAAGTGTATAGTTGTCAAAATAATCAATATTGAAAATTCCGTTTTAATGTATTTTTCTCTAATATTTTGAAATAATCAGTAGGTGATTTTAGCTACTTTTTTTGGCTACAAGAAATTTTTTGGACAAAGTTTTCCAAAAATATTTGCAGTTCAGGACTAAATCTATGCAAAGTTCATATGAGGTTTTCTTGAACAAAAAGGCAGATTCACTGTGCAAGAAACATTATTTTTTGATAGAAAATATTAGTTTTGCGCAAAAATATTGCTTAAACTGCAGACAATGCTGTTTTCTGTGCAAAACAATTACATGTGAACTTTGCATGGAAAAAATTCCCAACTCTTAGATTTCCCACATGGTATACAGCATTTTTCTGCACAGAAAATTGCATCTGTGCAGAAAATACTATTTTCTCTACAAAACAATGTTTGTGTTGGGTTGTTGTAGGTTTTTCCGGGCTATATGGCCATGTTCTGGAGGCAATTTTTCTCCTGACGTTTCGCCTGCATCTATGGCAAGCATCCTCAGAGGTATGCTTGCCATAGATGCAGGCGAAACGTCAGGAGAAAAATTGCCTCCAGAACTTGGCCATATAGCCCGGAAAAACCTATAACAACCCAGTGATTCCGGCCATGCAAGCCTTCAACAATACAATGTTTGTGTTATTTTTGGTATAATAAGGATAGGCCCAAGATTGTTCTTATTGTGATTTCTTAATACTCATGAAACAAGGTGGTTTTAAAAAATATCTTTCAAATATTTTTGAATATTCTTTCAATGCCTTAGCATACAAAGCTGCAATCTTTTCTTTTGGTAATATGATGAAAGTTCTGGTGTGCCCAAAACAGGAAGGGAGGAAGATCTAATGATCTACATTTGGTACCTTAGATATTTCTACTGAACAGGTGATAAGAAAATGTAGTCCATGGCCCTTATGTAGTTCACCAAATGCTGTTTTAGAGGCAACCAAGAATTCCCTAAAATGTATGAAAAAGTATTTTAAAAACTTTTCCCCAATATTAAACTGATGATGAACAAACAGATCTGAACAATTTCCAAGCTTAATGGCAAGATTCCAGGCCTCAGGATTTTCAAAAGATATTGAGATGAAGTTTAAGCCTCAGCAGAAATACACTTTGCTACATATAGTAGGCCCTCCACTTTCATGGGAGTTAGGGAACAGGACCCCTATGAAAGTGAAAAAAACCAAAATAAAAAAAACAATTTTCTTTACCTGTGAGAGCACCTCTGTAGTAATCTCAGTGCCATCCAGGCAACTCTATAGTCAATTTCCACAGGTTACCCTGGAGGTCCTAGAGATTTTTATAGAAAGCATATTGCTCATACATGTGAATAACCAAATTCTCAAAGTTAAGCCCAGAAATATGGAGGGCAAACTGTAATAGTTTTTCATGCATATCTCTGTCAGAGAACCT